GGCAGAGCTCCTCGCCTAGCTAAGCTGTCGCCGTCCCTTCAAACGCTCTGCTTCCGCGGTACTGGGCGTTGAATAGTCCGGTTAAAACTCGGCTTGCAAAGACTGGACCACAAAGCTTTTCCAAAGCGAAATGCCCATTCTTGCGCAAAGAGGTGGCCCGGCAGCAAGTTTCCACCCCACCGAGCTGTCCCAGCCTCACTCCGCCTTTGACCTGCGAGTGGGTCCATCTCGAGCCCCGCTACGTGATGACTTTGCACATAGACCAAATGGTGTTTTCCTCTCTGAGCAGCTGCTACTATTTTTAATCATTCATTCGGAGCTGGCTGCCTTTTTGGCAGGAAGCGGGAGGAGCGCTCGGTCTCCCTCGCTCTCCTGGCGAGGCGAGCTCTAATTAGCTATTTATTACAACTGCGTTTGGGGGGAAGGTTTCCCCAATGCGCGAGGTGCTTCCACTTTTTATTAAAATACAGATCTAGAAGGTAAGCTTGAGGTTTCTATTTGCCTGGTACCTTTTTCCAGTAACCGTCCCGCTAACCTTACCAAAAAGGCAGGTACTGAAATATTCAGGCTTTTCAAAAGCTGCGCGATACAAATCGCGGTATATGCCGCTGTTCCGGTTAGTCGTCGCGAGTGCTGCGCAGGCATGGCCCCCGCAGCGGCACTGCTTTCCCGTCTGCCTGCCCCGGGGCTTCCTTGCCGCCTGGGGAGAGGCGCGCCAAAAAGACTCTTTGGATGACCAGAGAGAAAATCAGCATCTTAGTTATACTGCGTGAGCACGTGGAAAACCAGTCCTATCTCCGCCTTGCCTTAGGTCAGCCTGGGCGCCGCTCCGGTGAGGTTTCTGCCTCAGAAACGACCGCGTTTCGGTGTTTGTAAAGGGCAATAGCGTTCTCGAGGGTGAAGGGCGGCGTGGAAACTCAACCGCTGACGTCGGTGCCCCAAGGAGCTGCTGCCAGGGGCAAGGATGCTTCTCCTGGGTGCTTAGGCCACCAACCGAGAAGGTGCTAATGTCTTCCCAGATCCGTAGCCGCTGCGAGCGCGAGTCCTGGCTTACGTCTGAGGAGCTGGGGGCATCACACGCATCCCCGGTGCTGTCGCCCCTCGCTTTCTTCTCCCCCAGCCGGCAGGTCGGTGGCCCGGGCCGAGCCGCAGGGCGCCGCCGGCGGGCTGTACGAGCGGCCCGCGGGCCCTGCCCCG